TATATTTTTTATATGGAAACAAAAATTGTGAAATATAAAATAAAATCATATACAATTCTTAATTGCAAAATTCTATAGAAAAGACAGTAAAATTTATCATTTTATATTTTTATTTCAGTGTTAATTTAATTTCTAGAACTAAAAATAAAAATCTAATGTTATATAGGCTATTTTAAAAATAGAAAAATTAATGACAATTTATAAAACTTTTTATTGTAATTACCCGTATAGAATATACTTTTACATAACTTCAGCTCCAACAAAATATCAATTGTTAAGTTTTGCATTAATTCCTTTATTATTTCTACACTGTTTAAGTTCATAAGTTATAAAGTGAGTCCTAATCAAAGGTTAAAGTTAAAAAAACAAACAAATTCAATTAAAATCATCTAAATTCGTTTGTCTTTCCGAACTCGAAGCAAGCAAGTCTCCTCACTCTTTCAACTAAAGTACTAGATAGCATCTGAACAGATTTACAGTTTCTGTTAATGTGCGGTGACAGGCGTTAAACAGCGTCATTTATCGCTACCATAAAAGCGGTTTAAGTGAGACAGCAACGATGATGGTCGTCAGGTATTGGTGTTTTATTGCTTGTTCCGGAGTACTTCGCAGACAATTGCCTTTATTGACACACTTAGTGCAACAGTTACGAGGATGTAGCCTAAAAGATTGGCACAAACCAAATTAATAATGTCTTGATATACTAAACTTGTTAACATTGTTTACAGTTCATTTACGAGTAATCCGATGAAATATTTAAAATATAATTTATTATGGAATTCGTGTTTAAAGTTCTAAAACCATATTAATTTTTTCGTTTTCTAATTTTAAATATGTTTTGTTTCTATCTTTTGAAATATATAGGCTTATTCAAAATTGTTTTTAGTTAATAAATTACGTAAAAATAATATATTTTTAAAGTTTTTTCACGTTAAACAATATATGTTTCATCATAATGCATTCATGTGGTGTATTGTGTAACACTCAACATGATGTAGACATTTCAATATTGTTTAATAATGATTACACAATACTGCTTTAATGTTGAAATGGTACTTTCATGAAATAGCGTCAAAACATTATTATTAATAATATTTCAAATAAATATTTTTATGAAAATATTTAACATTAATGATGTCGGTTGCTTATAAAGTAAGAATATGGCAGAAAATTATTATAATATAGTGGGAATTTGACTGAAAAATAGCTTTTTGATGTCTTTATAAAAGTACTGGTGAGCCGAGCGTATCCTAAAATTTTGAAAGGTCACCAAACATGCTGAGAACTCATAGGCCAACAGCTTTGCAAACTGTTTCAACTAAAACCTATGTGTCTAAATGGAACACACAAGGAAAAATCTACGGCTGATCGCACGAACCTACAATCACGGGATAAACTCAGCCAGCTGCAGAGAAAAGAAAACCGAGCGGCCGAGCGGAAACCATTCATTACATCAGTAGTGCGCACGTTTCCGCGAAAAATTCCGTCCATTTTCCGTTTCGCTATCTCTTCTTCTAACGATCTTCCAAACTGAACAGAGAGTTCTCTTTTCCCCTCCTGCCAATTTCCTTCGCCAGATTAGGAATACTTCGATCCTCTCCGTCTATTCGACAGACTTCTGAATTATACAGTTCTATCGAAGTTCTCTTTGATCATGGCAACCTCTCTTAACACGCGAGTTTTAAGTTTAGAGTAAATGCAACTACACTAAAATATTTTATCTTTATTGCTTAAAATCTTAATCTATGTCATTTAATTCCATATTCTAATCCAACATATAGATTGTATTATTTTAAATATTTATATATAAAACCAATACTTAACAACTCGAGAAAATAAATATAAAAATAGCTTTAATAATTAAGAATTATTTTAAATTTTAGCAAATCGTATGTAAAAATCACGCTTAAATATATATATAGGCCCTATATATATATACTTTTTTTATTAAGATATTTAAGTTTATCTCGAATAAGTAACTTATAAATAAATTCAATAGTAATTTCATTGCAAATATAAGTTTTAAACTTTCTAAATGATTTTTTCTTCCTGTAGACTAAGACAGTGTTCTAGAAGATAAATTGAAGCTATACTCTACTAAAGAATAAAAGAAACAGTTCTTTTTTTCGAACGTCACTAAACACACATTTCTATATGTCGATGCCAAAAATTGATCCACTTTTCTGGACGTCAATGATCGTCTCGTGGTATCTTTGGTTCATGCTCGGTCGATTTACACTGAACTTAGGAAATATTGACTACTTTATATCGAACGCTCTTCTAAGGATGATAATTTATAAATGAAAAATATGTCTATATCTAACTATAACTACTTCACTTTATAATTTTAAGAGATTTTAAATATCGAAAGATTAATCTGTTATTATATACTACTTCGATACAATTCTTTGTCTTTTTACATCAATCTTTTAAGTATAAAAAAATTAAAATAATAATAAAATAAAAAAGGTTTCGTTTCTTTAAATTTATTTAACTGTAAACTTTTTAAGTATAACTGAAAAGAATTGCTTTATTTTTATTGATAACTTATATTATATAGCCTATAATATATTCTCTTTCTAATAATCGTTTCGAAGTCGATTGCAAAATCGATTAAATACCAATTATTATGCATTGTACTGTACAGTACAGTACCACCTGTTAAAAACGAGTTTTTATACTTGTTTAAAAATTTTAAAAAGCTATTACAATTTTTTGGAAAAATTTGTTAATTCGTTAAATTCACTCGAACTTTTACAAATATATTATATTATTAGATTAGTCTATAACGTAGTATTGATTATACAGTACTGTGGTCAGCATTTATGTCAAACGCACTTACAGTACAGTTAATTTAACTGCTATCGACTTCACATTTATTCTTTTTATGCAATATTTTATATTGCAGTAAGTACCGATTTTGTTTCATGATAAAAATGAAAATAATAGGTCGATTAGAGTTCTCAAAAGTAGTTCTATAACGACCACGCCTCTAGAAAAAGAAATATTCACTTCACTGCAATTTCCTAGATTACAACATTTACAAAACTGCAATATTTTTAAAACAGTTTCCACTATACTAATGGATTTAACAAGCTCAACAGATCTATCGTTTCCGACAAAAGAAAACTTTTGGTTTTGAAAATGTAGGCTAAATCGATAATTAAATTTTTAATCCTTTTTAAAAAATGATTTTTTGTCGACTTTATAATCTATTATATTTATTCTAAAATTGCTTATTTAGTAACCTAAATCTACCTTTAATTCTAGTTTTGTGAAGTTAGATATAGCATTTGGAGCAAGTTCTAAGTTACTCAGTTTTTAATATTTGTTACTATTTAACCTTTCGTAGAACTTTTTTAAAGTCCAATAACCCAAATTTCCGTTAAATTTATTATTAAAAAAGTCTGTTTATAAATTAATTTCGATATAATTATTATAAAGAAACTAATTTAAATAACCATAACTCGTTTTCATTGTTCTAATGATAAATAGTTATCCCAATACAATTAGACATTTAAAAAGTTTTCATATTAATTTTTACTAAAAAATTAAAACTGAATTGCATAAAGTATTAATAAATATTATAAATTTATATTCTTAAATTAGAATTTCTTAAAATTAGTTCTTTAAATAATTAATATTTATCATATGAAACATTTATAGATAGCATCAACAGAAGAATTCATAGAAACCGCCATGTTTTATATTTAACTAATTTTATTAGTCTGTTGTATTCTGTAGTAGATGGTGATTGGTTTAACAAAAGACACAGTAGGCGTCCATCTCACTATGACTACCAATAATGTTGAAAGGCGATAAGCATACTCGGAAACACATCCAATTACGAAAACGAAAATGTTTCAAATGAAATACGTGCCAGTTACCTATAAATATACGGTACTTCGAAAAAAAATTCGTTAACCTGTCAAAATGAGGACACGCAATGTTCAACAAAATGTCCAGGCACTCTTTGAGCTATCTACTGAAGTCATGCAAACTGAACTATTCTTCATCTCTTGTCATGCAACACGAAGTGTCACGTATAATATGTCGAGACGTGCAAGTGTCAATTATATGAGGACAACAATTGATTTTTGTGGTTTCTTTTATAAGTATGAACTATTATTCAAGGAAACTTTTATAGACTTCGTGTCTGCAACAGCTTTAAATTAAACATAATTGAAAATTTAATTAAAAGAATTAGAAAAAAAAAATCTTCACCGATTCTTAAAAAGTAATTTTTTAAAACTTTTAAGCAATTAATCTACAGTAAATTAATTATATAATTATTATATATTAATAAATTGTTGAAAATATTTTAAAACTAACAAAAACAAAATGTATAGCCTAATATATATAAACGATTTCAATTAATNCTTCAATCAGTACCTTTATTTTGTTTTCATTGGCTTCAACTGGCCATCCTGAATGTGGTGCATCTTCAATATTGAAATTGCCAGAACAAAATTTTGTAAACCAGTTTTGGCACCGTCATTCTGTCAATACATCTTCTCCATAGATATCACACAATTTTTTTCTCGCTTGAACAGCATTCTTACCTTTTCAGTAATAAAAGAGCAAAATATGCCAAAAATGCTGCTTTCAATCTTCCATATTTGATGGGACACAAAAAATAAACAATTGCACAAAATCAAACAAAATTTTTTACAAATAAACCTTAAAATGCTACCTGTCAAAATATATAATGATAATACAGTTTAGAATGAAAATGGTGGGAAAAATACGACTAATCCGTCTAGTGGTAAAAAACGAAATTAATTTCCAAAAAACCCAATATATAAAAATAATCACATATAGTTAAATATAGTCAGATAAATTCATCTAAAAATTAAAATTTTTTAAATGATAATTTTAAAAATTATCATTTTAAGTCTATTCAATTTCTATATTAATCAAATGCTATTATTAGTCAGACCTTAAACCTACAGTGTCTTGTTATCCAAAATAGACATTTTTACATAAATAACTTATCATAAAAAAAATATATAAAATTTACCCAGGTGGGAGTGGTTCTTCTTCTGTATTTACTGTTCCAGAATTTTTATGATTATTGTTTCTTCCCCTACTAGTTGAAGCTGAACTACCACTAGCACTTGAAAGTGGGTTACCATTAGGTAATTGTTGTATTCTATCAGATTCTTCTGACACTCCTCCTGCATGAGTAGATACAGATGGTATAGCAGAATCTAGATTATTATTAATGAAAACAATTTTGAACAAAGTATTACATTGAAATAAATGAATTTAATTAATGTTAAAATTTGTTTTAACATTTACCTTCTCTTTGTATTCTTCTCCCACTATTTCCAGGTGATAAACCATCATTATTGTTTTCAGGAGAACTGTTTCCTGTAACAGGTGAAGCAGGACTTGGATTTGTAGATCTCTTAGGTCGAAGATGGCAAAATTCAGAACGGTTCCTTGTCATTTCATCCATTGGTGAAACTGATACAGTTAACTGGCCATTGTTACGTTGAGATATAACAGATTCAGGATCAGCTAAAATAATTAAATTACCAAATCATAAATTAAAATTTTTAGATTTATAAAAATAAAATAATAATAAAATTTTATTTGATGTCTATTTTTATAAATGGTACAATAATTAAAATAAATCATAGTAATCTTTTTCAACAAAAATTTACATATTTATGAAAACTAATGTTAACAATCAATGATCATCTAGATTAAAATTTTTATAGATTACAAAAACACTAAAAAAAAATAGAAGACAATTTAATTATTTGCATTTAGTTTTTTCCTACCTGCTGCATTAACTATAAATATTTATATTCATGCATTTACTATGTATATAAATACAGTCATACCCCGACTTACGCGATTTTCAAATCTCATTGATTCGTCTTTTGTTTGAGCGCCATGCAACCCTTGATTACTCACTCTCCCCACACTATTGTTCGGCTTACATGTTCGGATGTGTCGCGCGGAATCGACGTATAGCTACAATTTATTTTGTGTAATTTATTTCTGTTTGTTATATCTACGGAGACTCGAGAGACTCTATGTGGTGATTTCTTGTAACTGTGAACGAAACAAAAGGCAAGATAAGATTAACGAGAACATTTATTAGCTTACATACATCCGACTTGGATTTTACACAAAAGGCATCTGCAATCGTAAACAATTGACGAAAAAAGTACACATTTATCAGATAATAAACAAAGACTCATTTTGTAAACAATTTACCTTTTGTATATACAACTGACAAGATTACCTTTCAAATTATAAACAGACTCGATCCCAAGCGGTCTTTTGATCGTCGGACATACAAAATAAATGAACAGATGGCGCCTAGCTTAAGCACGGTTTACAATAACGAATATGATTAATCTTAACACTCTACTATGTCATCCAAACGAAGTAGAACTGATTCTTCTGCATCAAACAAGAAAAGAAAAACTTTATCTTTGGAATGTAAAATTAACATTATTAAAGACTTCGATACAAAAATGAAAATTTGTAAATTGGCAAAGAAGTTTGATCTACTGGAATCGACGGTCAGAACAACTATAAAAGGTAAAGAAAAAATTCTCAANAAAATATTTTAAAACTAACAAAAACAAAATGTATAGCCTAATATATATAAACGATTTTAATTAATTTATACTTTGTAAGTGGAAAAAGCTGATAATCTTATGGTATTTTAAAATTTAAAAAATTCAATAAAATAATCGGTATTTGATCTATGTGAACTTTTTTCTGAAGGATCTACGCTTGGTTAATAATTCTCATGATAACATTTTCGAAACTTATACACCTATAAAAACTCGTATTAATATTAGAATAGATTCCATTCTAAAATTAGTTTATGCCAATATAATTACAGTGCAACATATCAATGTCAGAATAATTATAAGTTATGTTTTTTGACATATGGACAAGAAAAAAAAAGACAGGAAATATTATTTCGGATAAAGCTTCCTATATATTCTTTTTCATATGCATTTAGGATTAATAAAAATCTCTAATCCTTATTTTAAAAAAAAGCAGCTACCAACACAATGAAATGACAGAAAGTCACATCTTGAAGGCTAGATTATTACATAGATAAAGACTAATCTGGTCAAAGTATTATTAATATTCTAATACACTCATTAAGTTATGTTTTATTGAGTCATTATGTAGTAATTATGACATGAAAACCAAACATAAATAAATAAATTAATCAATCAATCTTGTAAATTTTATTACTATCAAATTTGAGTAATTGGATCTGCAATTTTACAGCAGATTTATACCTTAACAATAGTAAAGAATTTTGTCGTTATTATTCATTGGAAATATGTAGGATCAAATGTAAATGCTAAATCAAACTGATTACGGCATTATCAAAAGTCGTGGGTTCAGACCAATCAGAAACCAAAACATGTTTCTTCCCTTAGAAGTTTGGTTTCTATTGGATGAATTTAAGCTTATAGTTTTATACTGTAGATTGTTAATATTTACAATTTTAGCCATTTATATAAGCTTAGTATATAAACATGTAAAGTATCTTGCTGTGGCTTTTCCTTAATGAGTTTTGGAAATTAGGTCTCAAAGTTATTAGTTTCTGGAAGTTCCTGATGATAACAGAAAGACCAAATCACTAATTTTGAAGATATATAGTGATAAATTATCTCAAGGATTGTAAATTATATATAATTTTTAAGGCCTAATAAAATAGCAGGTAAAATAAACAGTACAGAGTTACAAGATCTAAATAATTACAATGAAGCTATAAAATTGTAATATGAATGTTATCGTCATCAATCTTAGAAAAATTCGATAAATTTGTAATGAAATGCATCAAAGAGATAGCCTATTGTAACATTTTATCTCGCTAGAGATTTGTTAGAAAATGTTATATGACGAAATTGCATGTCTAGAATTTTAAGAATAGAATAAGGAAAAATAAGTAAAAAAATTTTTCTAGGAAGAATTTGAAAAATAGAATTAATATTATATGAAATTATTAATACTTAAATGCATCTATCGAAATGGGCATTAACCACCCACGGATGAAAGTTTTCGAACTGAATAATTACGAGATTGGCCGATACAACAGAATGCTCTACCATAAATGATGGCTACGGACGACATAATCGGTGACGTCTACCATTACTCACTTTCCTGCCGTCTACCCGACGAAACGATAATTAACGTAAGTGTAATGGGATACCGACTGTTCAGGACACGGGTCACAGCCTTCACTCTGAGCTATATAGAAACAGTTCTCATATTTTCTGTGCGCTGTTAATTAATTAGGTTTGACGACATACGGACATACTACACTTCACAACGAAGAACTCTTACATAGGTGGTCTATATGCGATCATTCGATAACAACTTTTTTAATGTGGAATTGTCATCATTGAGAAGAAATTTTTCATTTCAAATTTTGACAGCTTACACGATGTAATGATTAAGTTAAAAGTTTTTCACATTTATTAATATTTTTTAAGCTTAACATTGCTTTTTCTTAATTTAGCTTTATTATTCATTGTATTTTTCTGTATTGTAGTGCTCTTTTTGATGAAAATAATAATTTTATATGGCAATAATTATTTATATCTGAAAGTACAAAGATGCAAATTCATATAAGATTACTAGAAGCTTCACTTTTGAGCCTTTTGGTGACATAACTCTTGATATTTCACATTGCTGTGTGATATTCTCCACATATGTGTGTTACAATTTATAATACTTAATAGTTATTTATATATGCAATTATAATAAAAATACTTTTATAGTACCCAAATGAATACCCAAATAAAATTACCACCAAAAAAATTCTCGTGAATATCCAAAATAAACACAACCATACATATAAGAAAAACCTTACACTAAATATACATATCATTAAAATGCATTCAACCAGATTCAACAATCTCAGACATACCTTACTTTAAAGTATAATCAAAAGTAGACACAATCAAAACACACAAAAGCCTGCTGATTTTGCCTGAAATTATAAGCCAAGCTGGCATAACAAAACAGCAATTCAAGTAAATAGCATTAAACAACAATTAAGCAGACTAACAACAATACAGTAGAGTTCCATACAATGCGCAAACAAAGCAAGCAACACTGTCAAATTTTGTTGTTCAGAAATATACTTTTTTTCAAGTTATAGGCCAAGGTTTAAACTTTCATAAATCGTGTGATAATGCAGATTTAGATAACACGATTTCCTATAAAGCGTAATGAATCCCCCATGTACAAGACTACCGTACTCTAAAACACAACATATCAAAAATAATGAAAGCAATTAGGAAAATATTCAAGCACATTGAAACACACACAAAACAAACAATACAATATACATGTACAAGAATATAGAACACTTGTGTGCTGCACAATGTAATTCAATCTGAAAATTTTTGTTTGTAATTTGTTTTTAATCATCAATTCTATCTTGCATAAATTTGCCCATATGATATATCTCAGTGCCATTAGAAGTCTCTAAACAACAACAACACTGAACACAGAAGAAACAACTTAAATGAAACTTTCTGTGTAGGATTGCTGTATTTCTTTATTGGTGTATATGTACAACACTATATAAGTATTTCTGCTATTCCAGTATTTCTTTTTTTGCTCCAGCTATTGGTTTTGATGATATGCTTTTGTTTTGAACATCAGTATAGTACAAATAAGTATGACATAACAGAATATTCAGTAAATTAAACAGAATTATCAAATACAATCTGTCTAAAATTTTTTAAAAAAAAGAAGTTTGCATTTTTAATTGATATAATTTTAAACAAATTTAAGTGCATAAATTTAGACCTTTTTACATTTCAACTAAGTTTAAATGTAAATACAACTATCNTGAAATTAATTTAAGCATTTATTAAAGTTTTATTCCATAGATTTTAATATGATCATATACAAGAAAAGAAACTTAAAAATTAAGCTAATTAATTATCATTACTTTATAGCCTATACATTTCATTTTATTTTATTGAATTAATAGAATATTTTATAACCATAAAATTATTTTCTGTTACATTTGTAAGATTTTTCTTTCGTTGTTTTCATCTGAATGAAGGTCTTGAGAGAGATAGAAATGAAATTAATTATTTTAAATTTTTATATATTATAATATTACGAGTATTTAGTTATTGTAAATGTTGTAGAAATATTAAATATGTAGTGGTGAGAGAAGAAGCAAAGACAACCCAACCAGTCAGGAAGAGTACCTTTTATAATCCATTCACGACCACAGATCTGATGTATTAGGCTATCCAAGATCACTAGGCGCCATTTCTCAGATCCAAGCACCGATAATGTCAGCGTTAGTCCTGTCTGATCACGTGATAGCATCTGTCATTTTGCGTGCGACCAACCACCTCTCGTAGTAAATAATTCTGGAAAGGTTTTTGTGCCGAAACGGGGTGAGCTGGATAAGATTTCCTAATATCTCTCAATCAAATCTTTTGCAAAAATAAACTGAAAAGTTTTCCATCCAATCAGTCACATCTTTATTTTAATTAGTTTGCAATTCATTATTTTAATGAAGATTTAAATATTTAATGATTATCAGAGAAACCGAGAGTATCCCTTTCCATTAAGTTAAGATATTTACGTTTAAATTCCAATTACATTCGAAACTGTTCATTAATCCAAGTACAGCGAAAGTAATCTTACTTATTGTTTATAATCTGTATATTTAATTTGAAAAATTATTGATATTTTAAACTTTTAATCATACAATTTTTTCTTAACCGAATATAAATAGTTATTTAATTTAAAAATATAATTATGACG